GCGATTTGTGCAATTGTGTGCTGAAAGCTCTAAAAAGAAACATACTTACATGATGCCCTCGGCTGAAAATCTTTGAAAGATTGACTCTGCTTTTGATGCTTCTCTGAGGTTTATTTCCAATTGTAGAGCTTTGAAATATCACTGTGTGTTTTAATCTCACGTAGTATAGCCTTCTTTGTCCAACAGGAGGGTATCATTGGCAAAGTGTTATTCATAAAGCCACGTATCTGTCATTTTAATCACACAAAGAAATCTTGACTTCAAATGATCAATGGAACTAAAAAGGCTCTGGTCCATTTACATATAACACTATAAAAAAACTAGAAATTAAGGGAATTAATTAGAGTACACAACAATTTTGGACATTGAGAAACAATGTCCATCTTTCATCTTAACATGAGGAAAGAGGATGCAGTCTTGCTCATATTTGCTCAGTTTTGTTTAATATTTAGTAAATCACCAGCCTCCAATGTAACGGCCGTTACCCCTTGCATATAGAGAGCGTCTTAAAAAGCAACTAAAACAGCTTTTTTTAAAAAGCTGTTTCGACTATATAAAACAGCTTTATTTAAAGCTACATAAATAACTCTTTGGATCATTCCTTATTTCTATGTATTCCATTTTAAGTATAAAAGCTTTGCCTACATTCAGTCCCTGATTGGCTGCCATGATCTGATTTCTTAGAAAAGTTCAGCTCGTTCCATCTTCAGCGATCACCGCTCCTCTCACTCCATGCAACGCTGCTGTTTGACCTCAGATCTATGTAGTAGCACAAGGTAGAAGGAGTAGTGAACGCTCTGACATCATGTAGTTCACCGCTGGCCGCTTCACCGTCCTTCACCGCGTGGTTTGTATGGGAACTCTGAGAATCCAACGCAGTCGTCACAGCCAGGAATGATTATTTTTGGAAAGTTAAAAGTGCTTTTAAAAAAGTACAGGGGACATGTCCCCCATGTCCATTGGTCATTGGTACAAAATTGTCTCAGTAAAAAAAAAAACATTGTTTCATTGGCTTAGAGATTCCCACTTTCATGTTTTATCCAACAATAGTCAAGGAAATTGGTATATCACCCAAGGCAACTGTTTAGCATCATATCCGAGGCAAGTGAAGTAGCATGTGTCCAATTTGATCTAAATTGAAGGCTTTATGTGTAAAGGCACTGTAAAGGTACTATAGTCACTATCATTTCCCATTATAGGTGACGGTGCACTGTCCATGGTGCTGATACTGCCACGTTACTAAGCCAACTTTAGGTACAAGCAGACATAGTGTCATCAGTATATCCACTTCAGAAATGATAACTGATTGATTTTAACAGGTCCATGTGATACAAGAGGGTCTTTTTTCCCCTCAACTCTAAATGGAAGACTCCACGATTGTTCAAAACGAGCGCTGATCAAAGAATTTGAATTCTTTTTTTCTGTTTTTTTTTGTTATTTGTATTATTAATACCCATACTTTTATTATTCATATCTTTGGTTCAATGTATACTACTATTCGATAACTATGTATCTCATAGAGTAAATACTGTTAGACTACAAGTCTTTACTTGTTTGAGTCATTAATCTGATGATTATTACAACTGTCCTTTTTTAATATTATCATCATCATCACTATAATAATTTTTATTGTTATATTTTCAAAAAATTAGTTATGAATATTGCACTTTGCATATGCATAGTTTAATTTCTTTTTTTTATTGAAGTTCATTGCCATCATCTGAACACAGTGTTTCATTTATACATGACCAATATCTACTGTTACAAAAAACTATTCCATTAAAATTATGTCCAAGGGTTAGGATATATATTATGCTTTTTCTTTTTTCTCCCTTCTATTCATCATTTATTTTCCAAATAACTAATTAAGAGGATGTTCAAAAATGTCATCATTTTTACTAGTGAACAAAACAGATTTGGGGAGGGGGGGGTGAGGTAGTTGGAGGCAAACTGCTGCATTTTTAAATGACCTTTCATCTCATATCCCACATTTAAATCTATTTGGACATAATAACTAATATTCAACAGGTTGTTTCACTTTATGTTGACTTTATTTTGAGTTTGTTTCTTAGCAAACATTTGGGAACAATAAAAAAACCACATATATGTCCATACTTCTTAAAATACTGAAATTATGACTGAGCCCTAACACTATAATAAAGGATTCATTTCTACAGGTCCTTCTAAAAATATTATCATATTGTGATAAAGCTTATTATTTTCCTGGTAATGATAAAACTTGAACATTCATATATTTTTGATTCATTGCACACTAACTGAAATATTTCAGGTTGTGAGTGCGGGCGACTCAATAGCTTTGAACCTCGAAGTTCTTTCAGACGCAACAAAAAAAAAGAAATAAAAAGTCTTGCATCAGAAACATAGTTTGATGTCTTTCTTTAGAAACTTTAAAAATTTAGAAACAAAACAAAAAAAAAGAATCCTTAACTTCTTATCTAAATAAAATTCCCATGTGCCGATCAAAACTGTGATGCTCCTAAGGCTCGCAGCTTCGGCCTTTCTTCATGTGTCCGGACAGTTTCACACCAAACCAGCAGCCCATCAAATGCACCACAGTAACTAAATAAAAATCTATTTAACAAAATAAATTCCTATATTACTAAATATGAACAAAATGATTCTTACATTCTTAAATTAACTCAAATACTGCAAAACATAAAAATGGCTCTAACACAGGTCTTTTACTGTCTTAATACGGATGATTTTGGCATCCAGCTCATGAAAACCCACAATTCCTATCTCACAAAATTAGTATATATGAAAAAGGTCTCTAAATGAGCTTTGCGCCTAATAATCTAAATCAACAAATTAACTCTAAACACCTGCAAAAGATTTCTTAGGCCTTTAAAACTCCAAGCACGGTTCATCACTCAAAACCCCAATCATGGGTCAGACTGCCGAACCGACTGCTGTCCAGAAGGCCATCATTGACCCCCCTCAAGCAAGAGGCTATGACACAGAAGGATATTTCTGAACCAATAGGCTGTTCCCAGAGTGCTGCTGCATCAAGGCACCTCTGTGGGAAGGAAAAAGTGGCAGAAAACGCTGCAAAACCAGAAGAGGAGACCGGACCCAGAGGTAGATTGTGGAGGAGGGCTGATTCCAGACCTTGGGGGACCTGCAGAAGCAGTGGACTGAGTCTGGAGTAGAAACATCCAGAGCCACCGTGCACAGGCGTGTGCAGGAAATGGGCTACAGGTGCCGCATTCCCCAGGTCAAGCCACCTTTGAACCAGAAACAGCAGCAGAGGCTCCTGACCTGGGCTAGAGAAACTGTTGCTCAGTTTTACACGTCATTTGGAAATCAAGCTGGAAGAAGACTGGGGAGAAGGAAATGCCAAAATGCCAGAGGTCCAGTGTCAAATAGCCACAGTCAATGATGGTCTGGGGTGCCATGTCAGCTGCTGGTGGTGGTCATCTGTGTTTTATCTAGGGCAGGGTCAATGCAGCTACCAGGATATTTTGGAGCACTTCATGCTTCCATCTGCTTGTAAAGCTTTATGGAGATGAAGATTTCATTTTTCAGCACCACCTGGCTGCTGCTCACAGAGCCAAAACCACTGACAAATGGTTTACTGACCATGGTATCACTGGGCTCAATTGGCCTGCCAACTCTCATGACCTGAACCCCATAGAGAATCTGTGGGATTTTATAAAGAGAAAGTTGAGAGATGCAAGACTCAACATTTACATTAACATTACATTAAAGAAAATAATGAACTTAGTAACAATATGCTAATGTTTTGAGAAGGACTTGTATTCTCTTCATGGATGCTAAACAGAAAACATAAAGGAGTGATTAAAATATTACTATATCTAATATGATTAAGAGTTAGGGTCATGTTTTATCTAAAGAACCCAATAAAGCTTAACTGATATTTCTTTCAGAAAAGTAGGATTCAAGGCAATTACAAAAGATTTCCAGATAAAGGAAGTCAGCATTTTATCTTGACTTTGCAACCAGGAGGCCTGGAAGATTAGAATCACTGAAAAAATAATAAATGATCCATCGTTCTGAACCTGTTCAGTTTTTACTTACATTTTTTTTTTTATTACAACTAAAAAATAAAAAAACAACAATATTAAAGGAATAGTACACCCAAAACATGATTAGCCTTCATTTTCTACTCACCCCCATGCTGAACAACACTCTGGAGTACTTTTTTGATATCTCAAATGCATCTGGAGATCTGGGAGGCTTCTTGCTGTCTGCTGACATTCAAATAATGGAGGTCTATGGCGCGATCACGACGCTACGGAAGCCGGCAGACCAAACCAGATGAAAGTGCGCATTCAGCTCGGCAAAGAACTCATGCTCTTCCTCAACACTGAAGTCCTCAGACATTTTTCTTTCGTTGTTTGTTTCTTTGCACAGGTAAACGGCACATTTCTTCTTCTACGCTTGCATTATTGGAAGAGCAGACGCTGAATGCGCACTTTCATCTGGTTTGGTCTGCCGGCTTCTGTAGCGTCGTGATCGCGCATGTGCGCGCTTTCAGGAAATCCTATACACTACTGTTTATGCTCTAAAAACATTCTAAATGACTTCGTTTCGAGTAAATTCTGGACGCTACCCACTCAGGACACTTGGAATACATTGGACGACCAGTATGGAGGAATATTGACACGTTTTTTGTGGACTTTTATGGACCTTTCTGCCTCGGGCGCCATAGACCTCCATTATTTGAATGTCAGCAGACAGCAAGAAGCCTCCCAGATCTCCAGATGCATTTGAGATATCAAAAAAGTACTCTAGGGTGTTGTTCAGCATGAGGGTGAGTAGAAAATGAAGGCTAATCATGTTTTGGGTGTACTATTCCTTTAAATGGAATATTCTTTGCTTTCTGGTAGAAAGTGGCAGCGACCTTATGAAATATCATTCCTAATGGATAAGCTTAAAACAACATTATTAGTAATTTCAACTGTAAATTATATATATATATATATATATATATATATATATATATATATATTGTCTTCTGCATTCAATTCATTCCTTAGGGAGCAACGGGCAGCTTGGAGCACCCAGGGAGCAATCTGGGGCCATTTGCTCAGGGACCCAAAGAGGCAGTCAGCAGGGTTTCAGGAAGACACCAGCAGCCTTCTGCAGGGCTCTGCTCCAAGTATTAGTCTTCCATATTGTCGAACTCCAGGTCTCCCATCGACTCGTCTGTCACAGCAGTGTGCTTTCTTCGTTTTCGATAGATAAAATACACCACTGAAAAGAAACGATCAGTTTGTAGACTGCTGGTGCTGGTAGAGACTGAAAACATGGGACACTTACCAGTAATGAGGACAGGTATCAGGAGAATGACAAGTAGTACATAAAGTGGAAGTTGAGATGACTGGTTCAGGGTTAGAGACTTTCCTCCATATTTAATCTGTATCAAAGAGAAATGATTTCAACACTTCAAAAGCAAAATGGTTGCAACAGTTTTTACTAGGAGACACTGGGGGTGGAATAAACCAAAGAAACAAAGGAATGGAGGTATGAAGTAATGAGGAGAATATATGGGGGACAGCTGATAGGGAGCAGGTGTGGATAGAAACAACTAGAAGCAAGAGGAAAGGAGACTGGCACAAGGGGGCGACAGAGAGTAACTCAAAAAACACTGCTTAAATATAACTAGAAAACAACTAGAAGGGCATAAATCAAAGTGTAACTGAAAATTAAAAAAGAAACTTAAACAGAACCAAAAGGTCTAGAGAGGGCAAAATCATGACTGTTATGTTTAGTTTATTATAAAAATAAATAAATAAAATTAATCAAATTGGTTAAAAGTCTCCAACAAAGGAAAAGCTGCAGATGACAAAGTCACTGCAGCAATCGCTGCTCCTGGATAGTCACTTGTTTTCTGTCATTGGTTATGCAGCAATCCCTCATACTGCGCTTCCAAGAAACCTCCAGCAGAACCGGGCTCAGTGAAAGTGATGGAAACAGTAAATTTCCCAGACTCTGACAGGTTGGCGGATTTCACATCACTCATTTTCTGCTACAAGCTTAAATTCAGTCAAGCAGCAAAGGTGGCATTGACCATCATATTACCATCACCATGTTTGCTGGTTGCTTTGATGTTTTTCTAAAATGCTGTAAGAAACTCAACATCCTGTCATTTTAATAATTTTCTCTAAAGTCACATGGATCATAAAAATGTTTTTTGCGGTAAGGGGAGTGGGCCTTTATTTCCCCTTGGCCTTTCAGCCCTCCTGCCACTTTCATTTTCAGTCATAATGAATCATGATCTTAACTAATACAAGTGAAACCAGCAGAGATTCCTGCTCCGAGTGTTTTTGACCTTCTGACTGCCATTCATGTGATATTTGCTTATCTATTAACTCATAGCCTACTTCGTGTTTTAAGACACGTTCATTTTAAGAGAATCTTTGATGATGCAGGTCAGGCAGTATGGGTGTGCTTAGGGAAACTGACCTCTGCTTTCTAAGAAATCGGATGAATCATAATTAACTCCTGATTAAACAAAGATAAATGGGGGTTGGAGAGTTGCTCTTATCATCATGATCAGGTGATCAAAGAGTATCTGCTTGATTTGAATGTGTTTTATGGATGTTTGCCTGTTATTTTTCTGTTTCTTTGCCATTTAATTAAGTCTTTTAGTTTTTATTTTTTTCCCTTCCAGTTAAAACTCTTCTGTCATCCCTGCTTCCCTCCATCGCTACAGTAATCCTACATCCTGCAGGTGAGAGGTTCTTCTATTACCTACCTGTTCAGCCCTGTGTTTAGGTTCTTCCTAACCAAGTAATACAAAAATCCTTTGTGATAGTTTTGACCAAAAATACAGCATTTTAATTATACTTTATAATGTTGAACCTGGAGTATTAAGCTTTAGGATTTACCTGAACCTGTTTAAAGTCAGAGTTCTGCATTCCTTCGATCTCACAGATGAAAGTTTCTGTCTCTTTGCCACTTTCTTTGAATATATTGTTGCATTGATGTTGCTTTTTACCATCAATCCCCCAAACATCCAACTCTTCTGGTTTCATCTCCAGATTATCTGCCTTTTTCTGAAAGAACAAAAGACATTTCACCTTTAATAACCTAATACTCAGATGTTTATGTGAATAAATATGTGACAGAATTAGTCTTACTTGAATACTGATGCGGATATTCATCCCTTCCTTCACGGCTGTGAAGCCGTTGAACTCTGGGTCAGGATAGTAAACTATTTCTTTATTGCATTTCAGTGTCTCATTGGCTACTTTCAGAAACACAGGGCTACGTAACATCCTAGTATCCGTTTCTGCAGGTGTTTCATAGGTGAGATTCTGATGAAGATATAAAAATATTCCAGTTATTGTGACAGATTGAGTTTTATTTCTATTCCCAGAATTACATTGAATAATTTGTTATATCCTGACCATTCCAGTCAGTTACCTGATAACTTCTGCTCCAGTAAGGAATGACTTCCTGTTGGGTGGAGCTGTGTGTGACACCGTCCACCAAATGCATGCTGGTACCAATAAGAGTGACCTTCCTCTTCCCACTATAAGACAGTTATGCATATCGAATATGATACTTGGACACTGCTGTGGAAAATATTTATCATCTTACTAATACCTTCTGTTTTTAACATCTTCACATTAAACATGAACTGAGCAAAACCAAAAGATCTTTTTCAGATCATTACATAATTTATTAGGGGGAGATAAACACAGTAGATAATAGAGATAATGCACTAAAAACCAAAACGCAGGTTAAGCCGCACTCAGCAGTCATGGTTAATTTAAAACTTTATGACAACCATCAATTATTTGTTTTACGTCATAAGGAAGATCTTTTTTTCCAGCTCTTCTCTGCAGCTTTTATTAAATTTGCATTGGAAGTTTTGTAAGCATGAATAGCCTGTTGAAGGTCACACCGTTACATTTTAGTCTCGTTTAGGAAGTGGTGGAAAGTAACAAAGTACATTTACTTGATTACTGAGCTTAGGTACTTTTTTGAATGTATTTACTTGCGTGTATTTTTGTGGGGCTACTTATAACTTTTAACTGCATTTCCAGGAAGCTGCTAGTTCTTTGTTCCTTTCGGCTCTGAAAGTAACGGCGTTGGTAACGCCGTTACTTTCAACACCGTTAGTCCCATCACTGTTGATAAGCAACATCTTTCTTAAAAACCTGAGTTTTCTCTCGTATAAAAAGGACGTTTGCATAAACTAAAGGGCTTCATTTTTTACTATATGCTGAGGAAAAAAAACAAACATTTTAAGAATTTATTGTGTGAGCTGTTTTAGAAGCTGACTGACTAACTAAAACTATGTATTTTCATATTATTAAGCCTTTTTTAATGAGATATAAGAGGAACATTTATGGTAACTGAAAAACAAAATGAATAAAAAGGCAAAACTCTTATAATTCTTATTGTATAGAAACGTAGACGTATCATTAATAGACAGGGCTATTGGCCACTTGGTTTCAGTGTTGATGCTGCTAACTGGGAAAAAGCTTTCTTGTTTTTTTAATGTATTACAAAATATATAAACAAGTTGTTCTGCTTCCTCTCAAAGGAATATTAAAACTCAACTCCATTAAATCACAAAAAGCTTTTCTCATCTACTGGGCTTATTGCTGGCAGGTCAACATCTATCCTGTTTCAGATTGTTCGCCTAACGATCTCCATTTTACTTATCACATGAAAGGAGGACAGGAAAGAATCATGTGCAGGAAAGACGTGGGCCTTTCACGAAGCAGAACAGAGCGCACAATCTAGATAAGTTAAGAAGTTTATCAAGTCTTTATTTTTACAGATGGAAGAACTTCTAATTGGAGGTTTTTTTACCTTGATGCCAATTAATAGTGTAGATAATCTCAAACCAAATGTACAATTGATTCCCATTCAAATAAAAAGCTTCACAGCTGAGCTATGTGATGGAGGGGAAATGGAGAAACTTTGATGTGACAAGATATGGGGACAAGTTCGCCCCCTGCTGGTTAAATGAAAGTACAATTCAACGTGAAGCAATCCTCAAAGATGAGTTGCACCACTACTTTTCCACAGGTTTCCATTGGGTCATCATGTTGTGCCGCCTGTACAGCCACAGATCCCAGAGCCAGGCAGGTCAGAGATTCTACATTTTCTCTCTAAGATATCATTCACACTGGCAGCAGATTAGCATCAGGCTGCCAGAGGTGAGGTATGCAACATGTTCTGACTGGAAGGGAACAAATGTGTTGCTCAACTATTCAGGACGCAGCTTTTTTCCGAGGGGGCCTCATTGGTTAACTGATGAGGGCTGAACACTCAGAGGAGGGAAGAGTTCTCTGGCTTTTAAGGATCACATAAATTGGCTTTTGAAAGGTGAAAAGATTTCTGAACATATTAGATCATAAAATATTTACTGACATAAATGCCTCAGCTCCTCTTCAATGCCAGCTAATCTATAAGCACAGGCACTTTAACTTTAAATGCAGTGATGCACTACTGCTAATGCTTCAGGCAGGACTAGGAAACTTCGGCTTGATAGATCAGGTCAACAACATTTTCAGCTCAGACATGATGCCAACTGAGAACAAAGATCTAACAAAGATCAAGTTCGTCAACAACAAAATGATGGAGCAAAGCCATCAGAAGCTGAATTTGGATTACCCACAGGGAATCCGCAAAATTCTAAATGATATAAGCTGGTTTGAAAGTGGAATTTGCTACAGTGAAACTATATTTAAGGAGGTAAAACTGGATAAAAACAATCAAATGATTTCATTTGCTTTTAAACTGCAGTTCATTGCATTGAAAATTCAGCTTAACTATTTTCACTTTCAGTTTTAAATTCATATTATTTTGTTCCATCCATCTGGGTCCTTAAGACCCAAAGACCTAATAAAACAGGTCTTCAAACCTTCTCTGACTCTGTGGTGGCATCAGCCCTCCTCTACGCTGTTGTCTGCTGGGCCCCTGGCAGCGCAGAGCGGGACAGAAAGAGACTGAATAAGCTTGTGAGGAAGGCAGTTTCTGTCCTAGGCTGCACTCTGGACTCAGTGGCTGAGAGGAAGGAGCTGTCCAAGCTTCCATCCATCATGGACGCCACCTTCTCTGCAACAGACTGGAGAGGAGCTGAGCAGCTCCTTTAGTCAAAGACTTTTACAGCCTGTTTGGAAAAAGGAGCGCTACTGCAGGTCATTCATCCCTGCTGCAACCAGACTCTACAATGAGACACTACAACCGCAATAACTGCTGCAATGGAGAATAAATACTATTTAATACAATAACCTGTTTCTCTATATCTGACACCCAGAGCAATAACTATATATATAAATATCCATCTATATAAACACCTGTGTAAGAACTCTGCATTATAATCCTACTCTTAAAAAATAAAACAAATAAATCAATAAAAAAAAATTAAAACCTGTCCTATGTGGACGCATGGTATATGCTGTATATATCCCATGCACCTTTTTCTTCCTTCTAGCACCTTCTTCATCTCCTTGGGCAATTTGAGCTGATGGAACAAGTACATTTCTGCACTGTGAGATCAATAAGGTCAATGAATCAATCAATCAATCAATCAATGCTACCAGTTTCTGTCCATAGACATAACACAGCTCTACATTCCCATAGATTTTCTTATAAATAATTGATCAATTATGTGCTATATAATATATTTGCTTTACAGGGTTGATCAGTCCTGCAAAAAGTTAATACCACGTTTTAGGACCTCTCAGTGCACTGTTCTCTACGGCAGCTGGAATCTATATTTTTGATGAAAAAAGGTGAAGTACCTTCTCCAGGTGATGGCTGGTACAATGTCGCTGCAGGTGGGTGATGACTGATAGGTGATAGCGAGGTTGCCATGGCAGCTTCCATCTAGAAGGAGAGCACAAACTTTGGCCATGCCTTTCATTTCTGCACTGGGGACATGGAACATCAGGCTGGACCCGTTGTTGTTTAGCACAGCAGATCTGAGCAGGAACAAGGAAACCAAAGAGACAAAAATGGTGAAGCAAGGATGACATTGATCACAGGAAAAAAACAAAACATAAAACTGATCAAACTACATTTTGTAATATAAGTAATAGTATATAGTAATATAAGAAATAAGAAAATATGAATTGACTATCACATATTTAGGAAACATGACTGAACATCTGAAGGAATATTGTTAAAGGTGCACTCAGACCGAATGAGGTCTCCACTGCGACGGTGGTGAATTTACAAAGTATCCCTAAACAAACTGTCTGTGGAACAGTGGCGAAGCGGCCAGCGGCGAATCCCACGCGGTGAGAGCGTTCAGTGTTCCACTCTCATCTCGTGCTACTTCATAGAAATGAGGCTTTGTCAAACAGCGGCACCATATGGCGAGAGCGGAGCAGAGAATAGAAATGGCAACCATGGTTGCTGAAATGGCAACCATTCAGGGACTGGTTGCAGTTGTTATGTAGATCAAAGAAGTGCAGCCGAGGCAACGCTTTTCTCAGTTAAAATACAATTTAGAGAAAATAATGTTAACAAACTTTGACCTAAGGAACTCTATGTGGAGATTTTTAGGGGGCTCTAGAAACAGCTGTTTTAATTTACCCCTAGAAGAACTGTTAGTCATCCTCCCTTACCTCCAGCAGACCCTGGTCTGCCGCTCACACCGAGCCTGGTTCTACTGGAGGTTTCTTAAGGTTAAAAGGGAGTTTTTCCTCTCCACTGTCGCTACAAGCATGCTTAGTGTGAGGGATTGCTGAAGAGTCAATGAGTCCATGCAATCACCTTGTTTTCCTTAGATAGAAAACTTTGAATCAATCTGACTGGATAATCTGGTTGAATCGTCTCTATAGAGTGACCTGAGATGACATTATGTTAAGAGGCTCTATAGAAATAAACTGAATTAAATTGAAAATGCTGCCAACTTACTGACAACAATTGACCCACGGAAGTACAAGTGAAGGACAGCGAGAAAATGTACCACCTACTGGCCAGGAGTTGAACTTGTAGCTGTCTACTTTAAATCAAAACTTTAAAAAAAAATAACAGAATTTTATAGATGTGAAAATGTATTTTCTTTTGAGCAATAAAATAGAAAACTCCCAAATCTACTGTACTTCTATCCCATTAGGGGCGCATAAGGACATAGTTAAGCAGACGATTAAGGCAGTTTTTCCTGTTTCCTCCTGATTGTTGAAATAGAAGCAAGCATCAGTCCTGCAGGTTTTTATTGGCCCTCAGGAAGAAGATTATAATAGTTTGTGTCTTTGATGGTATCTTTAGAAGCCTCAGAAGAGGAAACCAACTTTTCTGTTATCTAGACTAGGCTTGTCCCGATCCGATCCACGTATCGAATCGGGACGCCG